CTGTGGGCCCACCAAGCAGAAGACACCTATTACCAGCCACATATTTCTAGCCTGCTGTGAACATCACAATCTCTTCCCCCTTCCCTCATTTTTGTAGTCCAGGAAAGAACAAAAACAGTACCATTGTGATGGAGTCTAGTGAGCTTGAGAGTTTAACTTTTAGTGTAGATCTCATGAATGCCAACATAGTATGCCAGCACCGTATATAGTGCTATCTGCAGGTTAGGAACACAGCAACACCCCTTCCCTTGGTTCATTTAGCTGAGTCTGAACTCACTGGCAGCAGCTCTCCAGGGTTTTCGGGTAGGGATTTTTCTCATTCCTACCTGGAGATGCCAAGGATTTAACCTGAGACATTCTGCAGGCAAGGCTGGTGGTCTGCCATGGATCTATGGCCCTTTTTCACAGGTGGAGAGGGCCCATGAGCCTGGTGTCTCTGGTGGGCTCTTTGCTGCTGCTGCTAACACCAAATTCAGCCCTTCTTTGCCTTTGGCCCCACTCCACACCATCACCCAGTGTGAGAGGGTATGGTGGGCAGATGCTGCTCCTTCTCCTTGCCTGAGTAGGGCAGGAGAACAGGCAGTAGTAGCAAGGAAGAAGGGGATCAGGAAACTCCGGAGGCCTATGGTGCATCCCTTGCTGGGGGGGTGTCTCCACACATTACCAATGATGCCTACCTGTGATGTTGCTGTGACTATAGCCTCCTGACCTCTAGAACATTTAGGCATGGCAACTAAGTATGGCACCAAATGCAAGGAGCCCTGCATGGCTAAGTTTCCCCTCCCCAAGCTGTGCCTTCTTCAGACAGTGGCAGTCACTGCTACCAGCTATGTTGATGACCACCAGTTAATGGTCTTTAAAAGATGATTAGATAAATTCATGGTTAAGTTTTTTTTTGTTTTGTTTTTTACTCCAGTGATTTTATTAGACCTTTCAGTGGCAGCCAATCCAGGTTGTTTTTAGATCAGCCTGGGAGCTGGCTGTTTCCATGGCTTCCACAGCGTTTAGTATCAGATTTTCTGTAGGTGTGTTGAAAATGGGTAGGGTGTTTAGTTTGAATTTCTGCATGTAGGAGTTCCAAAATGCCCAACTGGCTTTATTTTGTTAAGTCAGCTTTTTATTCAGTTTCTATCCAGTTTCTTAATGACAACTGGGAGTAAGAGTTAATAATAGTTTTTTTTTTAAAAAAAAACTCCACTGAATAATAAAAACAAAACATGTGTGAACCAGCTAAGATAAAAACTCTCCTGCTAAAAAGAGGAGGGCAGGCTTATAGGGCTACTCCTATATTTGCAGTTTTTGTGTTCTCTGGTTTTAAGCAAAGTGCTATTTTCTCTTCTGTTTCCATTTGTAATCTACTCAAGTAGAAGCAGCCAGATTTTTGAACATTTAATGTACTGTGAAATTCTGCTCAGTGCTACTTGGGTGACTACAATCCATATATGCTTTTATCAAGCACCTTTCGTGTCCTCCTGTGATATGGGGTGCAGGGAAATTAAAATGTCAAAATAAAAAATTCGTTGTTCAAATAGTCATGAAGCGTGAGCCAGAAAGCCACTACTTCACATCTCATATCAGTCATAAACTCAGAAGGTGGTTTTAGGCAAATCCGGCTTCTGCTGCCATTTGCAATCATAAAAATGAACTACCTTACAGGGCTGTTGTAAGTATTACTTAAATAAAGTATGTGAAAAAACTTTCATAGTATAATACCAACAATAAAAGCAGTGAAATTTCATATTGGAAAAGTCACACAAAATATTCACCTCATGTAAAATCTTTCCAAGGGTTTCAGTTTTCAGAACAATTGTCCACAAACACTAAGGGAAATTCCTTCTTTTTTTTTTTTTTTACATACTCAAAAACTGTAGCAGTTGATCCCATAGAAAAACCACGTAGCTATCCTTCTGAAATTTGGGGAGATTGATGCCCTCAGAAGAGGCAACATTGCCTGAAATCTTCCTCCAATTCCACCCCCAGACTTTAAAAAGTTATGGACATTTCCTTTTAAAAAAGAACATCCATGTCTGCACATTTCATCAAAAGAAAGAAGACTAGCTAATTTTCATTAATTCCCAGTAGTGGAGAAATGAAGCAGCCTTGCATGAACCCTTAGAAGAAGAAGAAGAAGAAGAAGAGTTTGGATTTGTTATCCCGCCTTTCACTCCCTTTAAGGAGTCTCAAAGCGGCTAACATTCTCCTTTCCCTTCCTCCCCCACAACAAACACCCTGTGAGGTGAGTGGGGCTGAGAGACTTCAAAGAAGTGTGACTGGCCCACGGTCACCCAGCAGCTGCATGTGGAGGAGCGGAGACGCGAACCCGGTTCTCCAGATTATGAGACTACCGTTCTTAACCACTACACAACACTGGCTCTCATTTGGTTAGCTGAACTGGGCAGCCTATGAAGCACCTCAAACCAGTCAAACTGCTTCCCAAAACACCAAATCAGGGTCCAAACAATATATTGAAGTCTGTGCACACCTCTATATCTGACATAAGTCAATATTGTCCTGGGCAAATGGACTTATCCATGCACCATTTAGCTGTTTTCCAGTGTTCCAATTGCTTTGTTCCAGATATTTGTTTTCCTTGCTCCAAGCTACCAACTAAGAGTGCTATGTAAAAGGTTAGAGGAAATGCTAAGGGTTTTGATATGTAGAACAATAAACTCAAGGGCTTGTTGAGGACAATTTAGAGAGCGATTAGATGCTACTAGAGGGCAGGGCTTGTCAACCTTAGACGCTGTGCAGAAGGAGAAATTGCAGCAGGTGAAGCTTGTAATTGCATAGTCCTACAGGGCTGAGAAAACCTACTGAAATTCCCTCTTCTGAACAACTATTATGGCACAGAAGCCTTTGAACTTATTGGAGCTCTTTTCTTCTTGCTTTGATGCTTGAGGGGAGCTGAGACTGCCATTTGATTCCAATGTATACATTGGGTGATGGCTTCAATGATGTGAGATCTGAAAGCACAAGGATGTGTCACTTACATTTGGTTGGTTTGTTAAATACCAGAAATACTTTCATTGTGAAATAAGGGGGCAGTTGTTCCATTTGTGAAATAAGTAGTGCCTTTTTTAACATGAAATGTGCCAAGGGAGCCATGCTGAAATAGAGTGGCATGCAAAACAGTGGCAGTAATTGAGTGCAGAGAAATTTATTGCAAGAATGTCTGGCACCCCATGTTTTGAGCTATAGCTCTTCACTGGGGTACTGCTCCAACAAAAGATTAGTGTGTGAATCTCAAAGCATAAGAATCACAAATACAGAATACAATATAGAGCAATTATTCAAAAGAACTAAAGTATCATTCATTATCTTCTCAGATCTATAGGAAGAATAAAATAGACCTTCAGTAGGTGCATTTTGTAGTGTGGGTGACAAAGAGCTGTATGTAGCTCAAAACCTCTTTTGGTTTTGTATATTCTTGTAATAAACCTGCCTTTGCATGTAAATATCAGCTACGGGCTGGATCCAGAGCAATCCAGTTGTGGACAAGCTAAAAACAGCCTCACCATTTCATTGTGGTTTTCACAGCTGGTGAGCTGGAGACTCAGAGAACAGCTGTGCAGGCACAACTTAGTAGTGAGCAGTGTGGGTAGCATCTACACTGTGTAGGGATCATAGGAGCCAACTCTCAAGGGCCAATGTCCCTTCAGCCCTCACAATCCCCACCCCAAGTTGATGGCATAGCCATTCAAATAGTGTGTGTGTAACTGATCATCTTGTGATTGATTATGTAGGGTGGTGCTTACCTGCTCCTCCCCATTTGTTTGAGTTAGCACCCCTGCTAGGGATTACAGTTGTAGGCGGGTTGCAGAAAGTGAAGGAAAGTTGTTGTCCACAGTTTCTGCATTAGTATTTTCCCCATCACATTTTGGCTAGCTCTGAAAGCATGAGTACAGTTTCCCTATCTGTCCTTAGGTATTTTCTCTAAGTTTGTCCTCAGTTTGCCCTTACAGGGGGCCTTATAAAGTTCTCTGGTTGGAGAACAGGGAGTGGCATTTAAACCATAATGCTTTGTAATTGAATTTGGAACAAAAAGGAACTTGCCTGTGTTGCCCTGCTCCGGACTCTTGGCATTGCTGCTATAAAAATTGTCATCAATGCTCATGTTAGAACCAAATGTTCTGAAATCTGTGAACTCCTTTGAAGCCTGAAAGTAAGACATGCCCTCAAAAGGCAGTCAAATTTCAGTGTCACATATTGAAAAGGATTCAGTTAAATTCAGGAAAAAAATTATTTATGCATATGTATACCTCACACATAGTGGGATTTTCAAAGATCATAGGAATGAAATGTATGAGGAAATGCATTGATACATATTTTCAGAACAAGAAATGTTCTTTCTATTTTGTTATCTTTCAGCATCCCTTGAACATTCTTTGTGAAAAGATCTAAATAATTCTAATTCTATGTAGTTCTTCCTGTGAAATGAGAATATTTCTCTGCTTGAATAAACTGTTAAAACGATCATGACTGGCCCTCTGGCCAACTGATTGTTTAACTCAGTGGTGTCAGGTCTGAAGATGTGCCTGACTATATATGTGGCCAGGTCAGTGGTTTCACTGGTGTTATCAATTTGACATTTTGCAAAAAGAAAAAGGAAACATATTGCTCACATTGGTCAATATCTGCAGTTGCTCAGTTTTCTTGCATGTGATTAATGGAGAATTCAGTACCAAAGGAACCCTATTGCGTTCACCTATTGTGTGCAAACACCAGGAACAGGCAGCTCAGGGCAGGTAGTCCAAGGATGTTACAAAGAGTGCTGCCATCACTGCTGCATAATAGGCAGTAATCAGAAGGTACCATTCTTCCGCATCATTGAATCTCTCTCCTTGTAAAACAATCCACTTGCTTATTTCTGCCTGTTTTTCAGTGTTGAATGCACAGGAACTCTGCCAACAAAACCTTCAGAGTCCTAGATTCTATTTCTTTGCCTCAGTGGTAGGTAATCAACTAATGTACATTCTTAATTTCTCCCCCCTCCTCAACAGATTCTAGCTATATCCAATACCAAGGGAATTCTTACATGGAATTTGAGGGTTTTCGTTTGCAACCACAAAACAACATCAGTTTAGAATTCCAGACCTTCAGCTTCGAAGGAACCATTCTTTATATTGAACAGAACCCAAGAACAGTGGGACATTTTGTTATTCAACTTTCTGTCAAACATGGGGCCTTACAGGTAAGGTTCAAATTATTGTTTAAAGTACAGTTTGAGCTTCCCCACACCACACCACCAGCAGCTAATACATTTGGGTACCCATGGATGTTATTAAGTGTTTAGAAATGGTTCTTTTAAAATGGTGGTGGTGGTGGTGATGTCACTGTTTAAATTGCCCCCTTTCCGAATCCTGTTACAAGTGGTCAATTATGACACCTGGGGATAATATTCATGCATGATAGGGGAGGGAAGCTATGTGGGCATTGATAACAACAGTTCACATGAAAAATGTACAGGAATAGAATGTGGCAGAAGAATGTGGCCCTGCTTCATGGACTCTCAGATGAAAACAAAATACCAGTAATATACTGAGTTAACCTATTAGGTACATCATAAATATATTAAAGTCCTCAATATCCCAGTTATTCAAAGGTTTAATAAAAAGTACATCCACCTGGTTCTAATGACCCCCCCCCCCAAAAGCCCATCTTGAGTGCCTTAATGGAACTATCATTTCCCGGACTCCCTTATAGGGGAACCAAGATGGACAAACTGGTTTCCATTTCTAGTGTGGACTTGCCTATGACTGTCTGGCATTACCCAATCTGGTGCTCTCTAGGACATGTTAGATTACACCTGGATGGCACCAGTTTGGCCTAATTGATCTTGTAATAAAGGGGTTTTTTGAATTTGGCAGAACACAGAAATGTACACTTTTGTCATATCATATGCACATTTATTTCTTCCTGCACATAATCCACTAAAGGTACTTGCTTTAAAATTATCTTGCTGTGCAGCAGTAGCTATAGCAGTATTCATTTGCAGTATATTTTTATTGCACAGTAAATGGGTAAAATTTCCACTTTTCCTGGATTGAGACTAAAAATTATGTCCTCTCCTAGTTCATATGTATAAGAACTGCTCATTGTCTTTACATTTATAATGAAAAGATTAATAAAGAAATAAGCCCATGTAGTTGCGGAGATGTGGCTGTTCCAGCAAATTTTGATTGAGGGAAATTTTGTATCAGAAAACTTTCAGGTGCCACAGCAAATAAAGCTAAATACTTTGACACTGCTAAGCTCGCCTGATATTAAAGTTGCCATCCATTCATTGTAACCCATGAAGTTATTCCTGTGGGAAAATAAACCCCTAGAAAAATGTCTGCCTCATGTCACTGTGCAGATGTTAAAAAAAGAGTGTGCAGTACTGAAAAACACATAAAACCTACGGGAAGCTCCCAGTGTAATTTGTGTCTGTATGAGAAGAATCGTGGCTTCCACAAGCACTGTGTGAAGGAAGAGCCTTCAGTCCCCAGATCCTATTTCAGAGCACTTGTGATTTACTTATTGGCACACAGACGAATAGATCAGCTCCTGCTTTTCATTAATTCACATTAATTGATACCACAGAGTGCAATTAAAGGCAGGATTCTACACAGCACGCATTGCCCAATGATGCTTTCCCATTTGCACAATGGAGCTTCTGCTTTCTCCTTTCCCAACCAACTGGAGCAGATTTCGAGGGCATGCAGTGGGAGCTGCAGAGGGGAGGAAAAGGAGAAGGCAGATGCCCACTTGTGCTATGTTCGCTCTCACCCAATACATACAAATAAGCTATACACCACACAGGTATATAAAGTGTGGATTAGCAAGGACACTGACTTTCAGCGCCGTTAATGCCAAAGGTAATAGTCTATGAAAGGATCATCAGAAGATGAAGTTGATTTACTCATTCCTAATCTTATTTGCAGCAAAGGAATATTATTCATGGATTTCCTATTCAGTTACTGGCTTAGATATCTAATAGCAATATTTATGTTTTGATCAAAGTTTTTTGGTGCTAGCTGGCATGGCCCCGAGTTGCATATGCACAGGAATCGTCCTTCTCTGTCCATTAAAAATGTGAACTTCAGTGTGCATACAAGCATCTGCCACTGAATGCACAGTGTGGTTTTGCCTTCACAGATGAACAGGAGAAACCCCTGCATGCATATCTGCCATGGGGAAGGGAAGCATTTCCTCTTGTGTCCTGATTTCACTCATTTGTGTTTCAGCTTTTAAAAATTACTGATGCTTTGCAATTACAATAAATTATCTCCCCTCCCCGCTTCCTTTATTCAGTACCAATTTGTATGCGACAGCATAGGAGAAATTAGAAACATCAGTACTAATGTGAGAGTGGATGATGGACAGAAATACAGAGTGCGTGTTAGGTAAGTCTATTCACTTATTTCTTTGTTTTGCCATTCACAGTGTCTGAGTTTGTCATAGAGGATAATGGGCCAATTGATCAGTTCAGTCTGCAAGGTTATCCTGGTTCACACCCTGAGATGCAGACCTAACATTAATGAAGTCAATTGAAACTTGACCTCGACTTCAGTGAAGTGCAATACCAATTATCATGGGAACGATGTAATTAATTAAGATTTGTGACTTGTTCCCATCCCAGAAGGATCACAGCAAGAAACAGTTATTTTCAAAGAAACAATATCCAGCTTGGAGGCTTATTTCTAACCTTCAGCAGCCACTGGCTGTTCCAAATAAATGGGCAGTTGATTTGCAAGAGTTTTACAGCCCTAACTAGGATTTCCATCCAAACCAGCAGTGGGGGACCTGTTGCCCTTCAGATGGCGTTGGACTCCACCCCCCAAGTGCTGCAGCCAGCATGACCAAAGTTCAGGGGTGATGGGAATCACAGCCCAGGAATATCTGGAGGGACACAGGTTCCCTACACCTAATCTAAACTATTGTGTGAATCCAATAGTTTTACTTATCATTAGCCATTGTTCAAGTTGATGCAGAACACTGAACTGGGGTTAAAATATAAAGCCAACAATGGAAGAAAGGGACAATGTGCTGCACGGAGGAGAACAGGGGAGCAGAGGAAGCAAATGTTGCTGGCTCCTGATGCACTAGCATTATGCTTGCACCAGACCACAGTGTTGAAGTCCTGCTGACAGCTTGATGCCCCTTCCCCACAATTAAGCACATGGTGTCATCTTATTTATTAACCTGGGACAGTATGGTACAGTGAATTCCAATGGAGCAGAATACTTAAAAATTCAATAAGCAAGTTAACTGAGCAATAAGATGTGGCAGGAGCATATTGTTCATTTTTAAAAATGGCAGTTTTGGTGCTTTAAGACTGAGACCATAAGGCCATGTGCCTTTCTCCACCACTGCTTATCATTAGTAGACACTATCACACACCATGAAGTTTCTTATTGGAATTATAAAATGTTAATTTTGAGAGAAAGCGTGCAGGGCAGATAGAGCTAACAGCTTTTAAAGGTAAGACATGAACTCTGTCTGGTTAGATTAAAGCCATCTCTACTAGTTTCAAAATGCTAATGTTGATACTAATGGGTTCCATTCAAAAGAATGAAAAAAGCTTATGCTTTTCTTTAGAAATTTGCTGCTTGTGTACTAATGCGCACCTCATCCTTGTGGTTGCAATGGCATTTAACACTCTGCTTAGGGGCAAATCTTACTTTCTACTTATGTGCCCCCAAACCATAGCTCCTCCTCATACATCCTGGCACCAGGTAAAGGCAACTATCTTCCTCCAGGCCTTTGAGTAGGCTTAGTGACTATTTGAGAAAGCAACAACAGACAGATGAGTCAATGCTATGTGTTAATTGTGGTGTTTTTTTCCTGCATTATTGCTACCCACCCCAGGATCACTTGTGAAGACAGGTGAAATATAAGTGTTACATAGTTTCTAAAGAATAAAAAGGATATAAGTGAATGGTTATCTCCGACAATACAATTACGGATACCTAGTTAGGAAAAATCCTCTCTGAAAGACATGCAGGCCTTTGATTATTGTGCTCATTCATTGTCATGTGATAGTGAAAATGACCAAAAGGACCTACTATGGGTGTGTGTTTCTAACCATTCATCTGAGCACAAAATCCAGCAAGCTCATGTTCTGGCAAATGCACATACAAAAAAAACTAAGTTAACTGGATTGAAACCAATTAACTCTCTCTGTATAGTGCAAAGTCATTCTTAGGCAGGCTATGGACTCAGCCACTGGTCAGTCAGACATTCAGTCCTCCCAAATATCAAAAATGTGTTTCCCAGCTAACTGAAATGGATGGGATGACATAGGTTTGCCAACTGAAAATGGTAGCCTTCACATGCTTACAATGTGTAGCTATGGAAACATGGGGGGGGCGGAGGTGGCCCTTCCATGAGGTAGGGAAGAAGCAGCTGCCTCAGGCGGCAGATGTGCAAGAGACAGCACTCTGCCTGCCCATCCCTCCACTCCTGCTACTGGTGAAATGCCCCCTTTTACCGGGAGTGTTCCGGCAGGCTACTTTGCCGCTCGTCTTCAATGCCCCTGGGATGGAGAAGGTGAAAAAGCCATGGTCCAACTGGTTTCATACATCTGAACATGGAAAAACAGTTTAAAACTTGTAGACCGTACTTGATGCTCAGGAAACATATATATACAGCACTTCGAATTGTTCAGAATGTTCCACTTGCGTTGCCTGGGTAATGTTTTTAACAGCACAGTAAGGGAGGTCCGTATTTTTTCATTCACACAATGCAGATGGGACAGGGAGAGAGAGGTTTGCCTGAGGCCAGCTGGTTAGGTTGTGACAGAGCTGAGATTTGAACAGGGGCACTCCAGATCTGCAGCTCACTCACTTAGTCACTATGCTAGACTAGTCTCATGACATCCATGTAATGCAGTGGATTGATGCATAATTAGACTGATAAGTGTAATTAATTTGGAGTCTTTCTCTAATTAAGCAATGGTTTAAATGGATTGACGTAGAAGGTAAATAAATGAAAGCTAATATATTCTGGGTGTGCATCAAGATCAAATGGGAGCAATCAAGGAAGACGGTTAACTGGCTTTTAAAAAAAGAAAGAAAGAAAGAAAGAAAGACTGCTCAGAGCAGCTGGTTCTTTCAGATTATAGTACAAGAAGAAAACTTCTGCTACAAGGTATTGCTTTTATGGCACACAGGAAAATTATGGCACATTATTCAATTTGATGTGGCATTATCATGTATGAGAATTAAGCTGCAATATTATCTGGGCATTAAACAAGCTAATACCAAAAAGAAATTGCCGTGGAAGGGCCTTCAGAAAATCATGATAACCAAGTCACTTTATTCCCAATATATCTATTTCTATATTTTCAATTGACTTGATTAACCTGTGGAGTAAATTTTGGGAGTGTTATTTTGATCTTAGTCTTTTTTTCACAGATGAATGGATTAGCAGATGGGCTAATAACCTCACTTCCTGGGGGTAATGTCACACATTAGTAAATGTCATAAATACTTCATCCTCCAAGAATAGTTTCAAGTATCTTTTTATTGGGGGTTGGTGGTGAGTGTACGCAATAAAGGAATTGGATTTAATGGCACAAAACCCTCAAGCAAAGCCGTCATTTCACATTATGCTGATTCCCTGTAACTACCCAGTCCTTTTTTTTAGAAGTCTTGACAACACACCAGCAACAATGAATTCAGGGTTAAAGGTAAAGGGACCCCTGACATTAGGTCCAGTCGCGGGCGACTCTGGGGTTACAGCGCTCATCTCGCTTTATTGGCCGAGGGAGCCAGCGTACAGTTTCCGAGTCGTGTGGCCAGCATGACTAAGCCGCTTCTGGCGAACCAGAGCAGCGCATGGAAATGCTGTTTACCTTCCCGCCAGAGCGGTACCTATTTATCTACTTGCACTTCGTGCTTTCGAACTGCTAGGTTGGCAGGAGCTGGGACCAAGCAACGGGAGCTCACCCCGTTGAGGGGATTTGAACCGCCGACCTTCTGATCGGCAAGCCCTAGGCTCTGTGGTTTAACCAGCAACAATGAATTCAGGGTTACCAGAGACAAATAACCATACAGATTGATTTGGGAAACAATGTAAATCCCTTCACCCTGTCACTGTGATTATCAAAATAATGTTACCTGATGTATAGCTCGCAAATCTTGATGCTCCTGGGAACATTTTTCCACCGCCAATTACATTTTTTTGCCAATAAATTTTTATTAGTTTTCCATACAATTGTACATTTTTATCCAAATTTTAACAAATCATCTCTTTTTGTACTTCCTTCAGCGTCTCTGACAATCATACATATTTATATCTTTAATACGCATTCCCTTCATTCGTATTGCCATTAAACTTCCCTTCTCCTTCTATTTCTTATTAACAATACTTCTTTGTTTTTACAGTGCCTCCTGAAATCCCACTAGCGTTGTTTTCACATCACACACATTTTTCAGATAATCTACAAACTTTCCCCAGTCTTCGATGAACTTTTGGTCTCCACCACCAATTACATGACACATACATCCCAGTCCAGGTTGGCAGGCTATGCTGACACAGTTCCTTCAGTTCTCAGATTAACAGAATATATGAGCCCCATTCACATTTGCTTCCAGCACTGTCAAAGAGTTTACTTCCTTGGGATGTCTTCCTATGGCACTCCTCTAAGCATTTTGAGACAGGAATCATATTAGTGGGGTCAGGAGTGTGGTACTTTCAGAGTTCATCCTTGCCGGGTCGTGAAAGGGACCCCGCTGATCACTGAGTATCTGTAAATTCAGTTACAGATAGGTAGCCGTGTTGGTCTGCCATAGTCAAAACAAAAAAAATTCCTTCCAGTAGCACCTTAAAGACCAACTAAGTTAGTTCTTGGTATGAGCTTTCGTGTGCATGCACACTTCTTCAGAAGAAGTGTGCATGCACACGAAAGCTCATACCAAGAACTAACTTAGTTGGTCTTTAAGGTGCTACTGGAAGGAATTTTTTTTGTAAATTCAGTCTATGATATATGTATTTACCTTAAGCCTTTTCTTAGTATATATATTTGTGTATGCATTCAGTATACATGCATTTTAAAATCTCCACTATAGAGTGGAACCTTGGTTCTCAAATGACTTAGTTGACGAACAAATCAGCTCCCGAATGCCAAAAACCCAGAAGTAAGTGTTCAGGTTTTCGAACGTTTTTCAGAAGCTGGATGTCCAGTGCAGCTGTCGGCTATTGTTTCTGGGACACCTGTGCCAATCAGAAGTTGAATGGACTTCCGGAACGGATTATGTTCAAGAACCAAGGTACCACTGTATAGGGATTTCAGGCAATGCAGAATAAGATATGATGATAGCCTTGATCCTTGAAAACAGTGACAAATTGCACACCCAATACAGTAGGTGAGGATCTCCCTGACTGACCAGAAGTTCAGCGG